CTGATACTGTATCAATACGAATGGTGAAAGTTTTGAACAAAAAATTTACAACATGCCCATGCACTCAGACCCAGACTTTACATAAATGGAACTCCAGATTGGAATTTCACATATGGAAAGAAATGTAAATTGCCAGTAGCACAAGGGCTCAGTGTAGTTTAGAGAAAAAATAGGATACAGGGGAGATACCAGAAGCACTTAAATCAGCAGATATAAATCCACTACACAAGACGATGCAAAGCACTGGCCAAAAATTATAGACCTTGTCACATTGACACCACACACCAAGGTTTTTGGAAGAATGACTAGGACTCAAATCTCCATCTCTTTGATCTCCGAATAGATGGGAGATATATTTGATCTCCAAATCTCAAATCTCCATGTCCATCATCATCATCATTCTTCTCTTCTTTATGTTCATCTTCCTTGCCCTTTTCATCTTCTTTATCCTCATCATGGCTGTCTTCTTTTATCTTTCTTCTTCTGCTGCAGCTGATCCTCCTATCAAAAACATCTAATAACTCCCAAACAGCTGCTTTTTTCTTCTACTTATAAATTTGTTTTAGTACTGTACAATATAGTTTTCATTTACAATATATACAAGTTAGCCCTCATATATTGTATTATACTCCATTTTCTGTAAGCTTCAAAGGATAGGAGAAATGTTATGGAAACACATATTAGTTAACTTCAAGAGAACAAGACTGCCAGTCTGATACCACAAAGGTTTAAATCTATTAACTTCATTAAATTAATTAGCATATTTTTTCTAACGACGTAACAATGAAATGGCTATAACGGGGCAATATTAAACAAGATTCACCTGAATCTATTTACTGTATTCTTGTAGGATGTACTTGTAGGATCCATATTGCTGATACATTTATCCAAAACTGTTTATAACTCAGCGAAATGGAGAGCCCTTGGATGGAAATAACGCATTTCCACTTGTTTAACCTGGAGACGATAAGGAGAATAGCCTATATTTGTTCTTCCTTTCTGCTCTTTCTTTGGTTTGAGAATGTTATTATACAGTATACGAGTTTACTTGGTACTTTACGATTAAGAACTTCCTTACTACGAGCATTCTTGCCTGTCTTGTAGACTAATGACCATGCATTTTGTATGTCTGAGTTTGATATCTTAACGATTCAAATAAATAAAATATTAGGGTAAAATAATAGAGACAGCCATGTGCTTTCCAGACACAACTTGTCTTGAAATTTAGTTTTTTCGTGTGGGGATTGCTCGAATAAAGTTAACAATAAAGTGGTGAGTGGTCCAAAAAAAGTGAGAGAGAAAATGGGGAGTTAGAGCAGCAGCAGCAAAACGTCACAATGTTTTTGTGTGATGTGCGGCACTAAAATGTTCAGTCCCCATAATTTAATAACATTTGCCTATTACATCAACTGTAAATTAAAATAATTTTTTTGCCAATAGTTTCCCATGTAGAAGCTACAAGAAAGCATTCAGTGATGATTTTTGAGAAGAAATATTAACTATAGTAATAATGTGGGTTGAGCGTGGCATCCCTAGAAATGCATGCATTGAATACCAAGTGAGCAAAACTATACTTTCAGATGCCCCAACTTTTCAAAACCTGACTGATGGCAAAATTATACATTTAATTACAGATTTAATTGCAGATAATAAGCAGAAAGTGGAGGAAAACCAGGATGAGGATGATGGAGAGGAAATAGAAGAGGAAAAGAGGACTCATAGAGCAAATTAAGACAGTTCAAAGCCATTCTAAAGTTTTTGGAGCCAGGTCACAAAGACTTTGACACTTGGGAGATGAGAAGCGTGTACAATTGGTTCATCACATGATGATTCAACACTTGAGAAGCTCCTCATCACCTTCAATTTCCATACTTCAATCAACCCATCATGAACATCTACCACCCCCACTATTTACATAGCTATTAAATATCAGTATCCTTCAACTTCACAAGTGGATCAGAATGTCTCACTTAGGTGGGTATGAAATTTTTTATTATTTCCCATAAAATTAGTGGTATTTCTCCCACAAACTTTTAGGATGATGTGCCACTTTTATGTTTACAACAGTTATTTGTACAGTTTCAGTTCTGAGGCATCCAGAAACATGTGGTCCTCTATGTGTCGTAGTTGAGCTTGTTTAACCCTGAAATGTCAGTTATCGTCATATATTGATTTTAATTAATTATTACTGTCCAGTTATTATACGAATGATGTAAATACGGTTATAATACATTTATATGGGTGTAACAGAGTTAACTAAAATCCATAAAGAAATCCCATTATCTTTCTGTAATTACATTGGGTCTTTGCTCTAAAAAAAAAAAAAAAAATGCAATTTAATCAATTCCTAGATGGTCCAAACAGTTTCGTATTCAATGCAAGTTGTTCAGATGAGCATACAAATGCTTGATTAAATAAGGATTGTTTGCCCAAGCCACTGTTGCACATCGGGATGCAGCTGTGCTAGCAGCACCTACCTAATCCAAGCTTAAAAACTTTTAAACTTAAACACAACATATTTTATAAATTACATTAATACTGTACTAACATTTACATAAATAAACATAAAACAGCCAAAATTTCATATTGTTACACCATATACAATAACAGTCCTTGTCCAAAGGAATTTAGGTGTAACTACAAATATTAATAAAATATGCAAAGGTGGTGGTAGTGATATTGCCTCTCTTCCATCTTCTAGCTTTGGCATATTTAACGCCTCTAGCCTATGTTCACAACTGGGGGTTTTTCAATTTGAGAAGCCATTTTGTAGTACGACCTTGCACCTTTTCCAGTTTATTGACATGCTTCTTGAGATATGGGCACCATACAACTGCCACAAATTCCAATTTTGGTCTCAAGTCATGAACAGTTTCTTTATTATTTCACTATCCATGTAATTAAAAGTGGTTCTGAAGTTAGGAGGCGCAGCATATGCATGTAAATGCAAGTACGTACATACAATTTTATTGTGTAACATTTCTCTCACAATCGTGGCACCCACATGATTGTGAGCATGTGGGGGATCTAACTGGGCGTGGTGGCCCAGTTAGATCCAAATTGCAAACACCTGCAATAGTTGTGCAGTGTATCTGCGGAGAATAGAGGCAGCATCAAGTTCAAGGTTGGTGTGCCCAGCTTGAATATGACCTCATGAGTGCCATTAAGTATAGCATGCACATTATGTGATTATTTTTACACGTGCAGACTGTATTGCTGTGCCTGCAAATTAATGTCCCAAGTATCCTATTGGAGCTCCACTGAATCCTTTGAATCATTGCAAAGCTGTACAAGTGAAGCACGTCATAATTGCAATATTAAGATTAAGGCACCTTATGGGGCTTAAGTATTATCTGTAGGACAAGTACCATTTGAGAGCTTTGAGAACAATTGTAACAAGAATTTAAAAAATCATGTATGAATGATTAAGGGTAATAAATTTGTTATTTTAATCTACACGTGGTTGTATCTGTAATCCTTTTTGCCTCATATAAAATCTGTCAGCCCCATTAAAAGAAACATATTCATGCTAACAATGCATCATAAATTTGATGGAATCGAGACCAATTCCCCACCTAAAATGTTGAGTTAAAACACGACCAATAATCTGGAGGAATTCATAGAATTCCATGTTGCTGCTATAAGCTTTAATGTCTGCTGATCTCTGTAAGTAGTCAGCCATATTGCATTGATGATAATGCAAGCAGAAGTGGTTCAGGACAAAAATGAAGACAGTATTTATGTATGAATGAATCAATCAATAAAAACATAATAATTAAGGAAACTCCTGAATTGGCCCATATGCCCATATGGGCCAATTGGCCCATATGAGGTAGCTCCCATTTATCCATTCAAACTAATTCAAATATATGAACGAGTTTGGATTAATATAAATAAGAACTGCCTTGTATGGGTCAAAATATAAATGAATGTGGGTGGTACATAGGAGTTTCATTGTATGGGTCAATAGGCCTTCTGCAGTTCCTTAGTTGACCTGGTATACTTCATTACAACCATAGAGAGTTGTAAAAACCATATGAAGATAATCAGTATACATACAATAATTGCAACAATTTTATACTATGACAAATTATCGCATTGGCAGAGTAACATTTGCAACAATAACCTCATTTATATGGTAAGCAATTATGAAACAATAGCACAACTTTTCCCATGTGTAAAGATAAACTCCACTACATCCATAAGAACATAAGAATGAAGGTAACTGCAGAAAGCCTATTGTCCCGTAAAAAGCAACTCTTATTTAAAACCACCCGTCTCATTCAAATACATGTCTAACCTGCTCTTGGAACAATCAAGGGATCCTACTTCTATTATGTTACGCAGTAATTGGTTCCACAAATCAACAACTGTTCATGAATCAGTATTTACCCAGGTCTTTCCTAAATCTAAACTTATCCATTTTATACCCATTGTTTTGTGTTCTGTCTTGTGTTGATACTTTCAATACAGTACCTTATTAATAACCCCCATTGTTATGTCCATTCATCTACTTGTAAACCTTATCATGTCACCCCTAATTCTTCACCTACATAGCTATTACAGTATATCAGCATAGCTGCTATAAAAATTAGACAATAATACTTAAAATCAAAGAATGATAACTGCATTGCCCACTGAATCAACATATGACAATAACTGTCCTTTTGGGGTTAAAAAAGTGGAGCTTTAATTTCAACTAATTAGGATTGGACAAGTTCCACCAAATCAAGGGTATCTGTTAAGCAAGTTTTATCCACAAGGTAAGCTTGCATTAAAATAAGTACAGTAGTTGATATTTGTAGCACTAAAGACCTTTATTAAAAAAAAAAAAAAAACACGAAGGTGCACAACTCCCACAATAATATCATCTTCCTAAAGTCTGGATGAAATAGCCCCTATAAATGACCAAGATTCCAGTTTAATACAGTACGAGAAATGGTAATATCAGAAAGAGTTTAGTTATGGAAGGTCATTTATATTTGTTAATGAATACTCACCATTTGCGAAGCTCTGGTTTGGTTTCCTGAGAAACCTTCAAAAGGCATTCCTAGTAGACCTCGTTCACCTTCCCACAAAGATTTCTGAAGATAACAATACATTAATATTAGCAGTGATTTCTGCCTTTAAACTCAAAATTAAACATCATTGGTGTTTTCTACACCATTAAGATAGCATAAAGTGAGAGAAACAGTATTTTTGCTCGATTCCCTCCAATATTCAAAATACATAATAAAAAAATCAGACTTTAACTATACAGTACTTACATGAAAAACTTTTCAAGTACTGTTTTCAGTTTTCTAAGCTTTCTTTTGTCTTTCTGGTTGCTTTCCTCAGTTTTAGGACAATATCTAATCTCTTAACCCCTCCTCGCTTCTTTGAGAGCCAGATTTTGTTCCTGGCTCCTAGTAAGTCTATATGGCATAAGTGCTTAAGCACTTTGGAGCTACTATGTCTTCCTAGAAAAATTTACAAAAACAGGTATGCTTACCCAAAGTACCTAATAACTTGTATGAGTACTCCCTTACATATTTTTTTTAATCTGAAAAGAACTAACACTTCCTCTAATACACACAGAGTAATCACACTAATGTGACTGCATCAATGAGAAAATCCGTAAGAGCAGTAATGAGGGTTTGAACCTACGCGGTGGATGTTCCCACACACACACGCTAGCAACTAGACCACGGCATGGTATTTTACCTTGTCGTAGTCTAGTCGCTAGAGTGTGTGTGCATGGGAAATAGGTTCAAACCCTCATCATCGCTCCTACGAACTTCCTCTAATATTGTATATACTTTAAAATTAGCATTATAATACAAACTTACTCCTTGAAGGCCTGATGCTCCAGGAAGAGCCTGCGCAACAAGATCTTCCATAGTTTGTGGCTGATTGGTGGGCCTAATACTGGGAGGATTAAATCCTGTACTTGCAGTCTCTCCTGCTAGGCTGCCCGAGTGATCACCATGAAGGGAATAATTTAAACTGGGATCAGAGTCTGCTGATGGAATGGATTCTTTGGTATCATCAGCTTCTGAGTATTCATCCTGAGGTTCTTCTTTGACTAGGGGATCATCCATAACCAACTGTGTGTTAAGAGTGAATTAATTTTAAAGTTCAATATTGAAATATTAACAGTGAAATATTTTTTTTCAGCTATATGAGCAAAATTTGTCATGCCAAAAATTTTAAAAACTGTATATTACTTATTTTATTTAAAAAAGGTGACTATCAAACTGCCAAAGATAGCTGGGGAAAAAAAGGAAACTTACCGTATTATCTGTGGTGCCAGCTAATTCATTACTAGTATTTGAGGGCCCTTGTGTAGTACTATCCGTTTGGGTGGTAGATCCCGAATCATGAGAGGCAGGGTGTGGTACTTCAGGAGGGGATTCAGTAACAGCAGCATTTGGTAAGTGAGTCTCTGGACTTCGTGGTACAGGTACTGGACTAGGACTGGATTGGACTCTGATTGGTTCTCTTGCCCTGGAGGGTACTCTGAATGGCTCTCTGTAACCTGCAGGAGACCTTGTCATAAGATCCCTCCCTCCCTTGTCACTTGGAGTCTGACCTGTTCTTTGTGAAACAGGAGAGGCTTCCTCCGGTCTTCTACGTTTAGCCTCAGGTCCATCGCCAGTCCATGGTATATTTCTCTTACCATCCTGTGTAGGCTCCGATTCACTCGGTGACTCGTCTGGGACAGCTAACCCTTTTATTCTTAAGCACTCGGCAGCCTTAATAAGTCCAGACAGGTCAGTTTGTAACACATTCACTTCACCTACATACATATAATTCAAGAGAGCTTCTAAGTCCTCATGTCTAATATCTTTTAACACTATTATTGGATGTTTACAGTTTGTTCTTTCAAACATTTGTTCAAAATAATCACTGCATGTTGATAACACCAGTTTGTGCACCGGGTAGAATTTTCCATCACAGGCAACAGTCACATCACAATATGACTCCTAAAACAGAAAAACACAAAAATAACCATTAAAACAATAAGACTTCATTGGGAAAAATAAGGAACCAATTATTAAGAATATGAGAATATGATTGTCTCACTTCCAATGAGTTGGGACTTACTATGAACTGTACATACAGGCAATAATACTATTTTCAATGTTGTTTAATTTATTTACCCCCCCCCCCTTGTACTCGGGCTATAGTTTGCCAAGTCATTTAATTGGAAATGATGGATATCCTCCCTTGGTTGGCTGCCCAGTCTTTGGCTGGGTGGATGCTGTAGGCCAATAGTTACTGGGTTGACCACCTAGAGATGTGCATGAGGTGGTATTATTTACATTGGCGCCAATGAGGTTGGAATAAACTGGAGAATATTTTCCTGAGATACTCTTGTTTACAGAAGACATGATCAGTCTGTCTTAGGTTCAATCATAGAACCTTTTCCACTTGGTTAATGTGAACCTAGCACTTCAGTTACTCTTCTTTAAAACTTCTTCATAACTACATGTACAATCTATCATAAGAGATCAAAAAATTACTTTACGATAAATAAACCCTTTCTCATTTATTTCATATACACATTTTATTCCACTTTACCCACTGCAGCCAAGAGGGTGGGGTGAGGGGTGACCAGGTGCTGGAGGTGTCAGGAGACAATTATTGTGTTTAAGGTGCAGTGTGATGTTGGATTAAAGGTGTGAAAAGTGCATTGTGTCAGTGGTGTGTTATGGTGTCCTGTTGTATCAGTACTCATGGCATCGTAATTATGGTGGCCTGGGGTTTTAAAGGATTTGATCGAGCCAATGATCTTTACATTAGAAAGCCTCTAGGCATGTCATAAGTAATACAGTTGAATATTTTACATTTACAACTCATTAATACATATACAGTACTGCATTTTCTCTATTTTAATCAATAAAATTCATGTAGCCCACAAAGATTTATGTAGTAAAAATGGATGTACTATAATTGTCAATACAGTACTTTTCCAGTTAATCTTTAAAGATTACCTTGGTTAGAGGCTAGCACATGAACTAAGTGAGATGGTTTACCTCATTCTCAAAACATCGATAAGATATAGTTAATATGGCAAGTTGAATTTTTTTATATAACACACACGGCATCCATCCCTATTGGGGAATACTAATATATAACCTTGATACCATATTGTTTCCCAACAAAGGATACCCAACAATTTATTTGTATAATGTACATAATTATGACTTGACAATTTCATGTGAAACTAACAATGAACCCAATTTAGAATCAAGGAGTTAATACAATATAATACTGTATGTACTATGAAATCATTACCTTCCGCCTGACAGTAGAGAGAACATGAAGGAAAGTGGAGCGATGGTTGTTCCACTTAAGGGACAGTAAACCACCATCCATGGCAACTCTACAAGTCTACTGCAAAAAGTCTGGGGAAAAAGCAAATAATTATTAAATAAAATTAAAATAAGGGTTGTTTATTTTAATAGTATCTACCTACTCCAACAGCTGCTGTGTATTCATAAATATGGTTCACACTCTAAAACAAAATTAATGTTACACACTTCAAATAAATAATATATTGAAAAATAAGTTAACATGTTGAGCTAGAGAAAAATTTTAATCTCGGATTTTCATAAATGTGGTGAATAATTTATTTTACTATTCAAATAATTTATCAAAATATTAAGCTATTTTACAACCCACTTACAACAAAAATAAACAATATAATGGTTACAGGCAACACAAGTGAGAAAGTTAACCATCTAAGGATGGTTGCTAGTCTATAGATGGTTGACAGACACTATACATCAGTGGCAACACACCTTTAGTGCCTTCACCGGTGCATAGAATGAAAACCCCAAAAATGCCAGGAACTCTCTCAAATATACTCCAAAACATATTGAAACCTGTATGATATCTAACAGAAATCTGTTAAAATAAACATTACTAGGTTAATTATTACATGACTGTACACTAACACTTGGACAAAGGTTATTGTCACATGATGATTCATGGGGTAATGCGGTTATCACATGACAATTTAAACAATTTCGTTTGGGTTTTACATGTATGATGCAAATAGGGATATAAAAGCTCTCTGTTGATGTAATGGAGTTTACCTTGACCCATGAAAAAAATCCTGCTATCATTTCATTGGTACGTTACAAGGCAAATGCAGTTATCGTCATGAATGATACTAGAGGAATACAGTCCTCGTCATTGTATAAAATTCCATCATAACTATATGATATGTATACCAATGATGTTCATATGCTTTCCACAACTCCTTTTCATTGTCATGAGGTATACCAGGTCAACAAATCATTAATTGAACCATTATCATGTGTTATGTATACTGTACTGTACTAGGAACCTGCCATCATCTATGGGTGCCACATTGGTGGCTTATGCCTTTGTTTCAATCTATACTCTCACCCATATGGTGCCAATTAAGCCATATGTCATTGACCAGAGCCTAACACCATTCAATATTATGTTTATATCCTGTCACTACTCTATACTGGTTGTAATGAAATATACCAAGTAAACCTTGGTATATATACTCAAGTAGTCAATTGAAACATTATCGTGTGTTATGTGAATTATGCGAGTTCTCAAGTTATTCAACAAACACATATGTACTCTAAATAAAGAGAAACAAGTGATAAACAATCAGAGAAATATCCGAGCAGAACACAGGAAGTGTCAGCAAAGCCAGGTACGTGTACTGTGTTGACAGAACATAAGATACAGCCATTATTCAACCTTCGAGAGTGCCTACACCCAGTAAAATGATAAATATTCGCTCATTTTCATGTTTTTCTTACATTCTGCATGCAAGTTGATAATTCTATAATGAAAATTTATTATTTTGAAATTTATATATTTTTGTGCATAGACAGGAATGACCATTTTGCTATAGCCACTGTCCAAGGATTAATCTTACAAATATAAAAATAATATAGGTTATTAATAGTAATTTATAATATATATAGAATGAATAATTTGGATGCAAAATAATAATTCATTTTGTTGGGGACAGGCAGCCTGTGCAAACATATACATCTTAAGGCTTATAACGAGGTCCCCTCCCCCCGGGTCAAACTATACTGACTCTCCTCAGGTTGCAACCCCAGAACTAGCTGAATAGCTCCTGGATATCTATTTACTACTAGGTGAACAGAAGCATTAGGTGACCGGAAATGTGCCTAACAATTTCTGTCCTGCCGGTGGTACGACCATGGAATTCTCAATGTGAATCGAGACCAATTCAATAATTAATAATTCATGTCAGGGGACAGGCCGCCACACACACAGAATTTTTATACACAGAATATTTATACACATTAGGCTTGTATCGAGGTTCCTCCACAAGGTCGAATTATTGACCCTCCCCAGGACGCAACCCCACAACACGCTAACTCCTGGGTACCTACTTACAAGGTGAAGAATGGCATTAGGTAAAAAAAAATGCACCCAAGCATTTCAGTTTCACCCGGGATTTGAACCTGGAATTCTTGATTTTAAGTTGAGAAAGAACCCGACTGTGCTACTTGGACCCTCAAATGTTGGAAGAAGTGGAACTAACTATATATAAAAATGATTACTGGTAAGGTGTGCTGTAGAAGGTTGGCGGGTGATGTGTCCAGCCAGATCTGTCAATACCAGACACGTGGTTTTTTGACATAGTGGTGTGGGGCAGAGAACTAATATTGACCTTGGATGTTTCTAAGATTATTTTTACATAATTAAGTTCATACACTATGCATTCGTGTTGAATAACTAGATTTATACATGTAAACAAACAAAAACAGGGATCGAGTTCAGCAATAACTACAAGGATAATGTATTAACCTTATAATGTTTATGTATGTAAATATATTAAGCAACCTGTCTTCAGGGAGGAGATCCACTCAAGGCAATGGATTCGGAATGACTACATAATTTGTGTTATTATCTACTATCTATCCATGGTTAGATTCAGTTTACCTTGGGTTAAACTTTGGTGAGGTTAGGTTTCATTACATTTGGTTATGTTAACACGATGTATTGCTGACAATGTGAAATGTGTTGAGGAAACCGAATTCCTGCAAATTTCATTTACAGAAAATCAAATTCGTCAAAGAAAGCATTCTCTACATACACTTTTTATATTTTAAACCACCTAGTTATAATACAAAAAAGTTTTAACTTGAGAATAATCTGTTCAGGATAAAGGTTCACTTGCCATTTTACATGTAGATTATTACTGGAACCGTAAAATGCTTTCTGACCATCACAAATATCTAGATAACTATCCAAGTGGTTTGATGGTGCGTGTGACGTCTTATGGTAATGGATTTATCTGAGGACAGGCTCGTATTAGGTTAGGTAAAGTTTAGTTAACAGTTAAGTTAGTTAACCTGCACGAAACTGTGTGCATGTTAGTGGCTTTGTAAGAACACCAGTATTATGTACGCTCACAACCTAATGTACCTTCTTGTGCATAAATAACAAAAATTGACCAATTTGTGATCACCTCACAACATAAGAGTGAGAGCAATCACATTTAACTTTAGGAATACCACATTAGCAGTAAAATTAACTGAACACTAGTAGGAAAATAAGAACTCTAGCAATAATAAATGAGATATATACCTGCACAGAGAACTCATCTCAAGAGATTCAAACATTAAAACTGTAACTAGGGCCTGACGTTCACCATCACACAAACCCAAGTTCAAACGCAAGCCAGTGTTCGGCCTCAACTCCTCCACCACTGAAGATCAGAGTGGGGGGAGCCCCTGCACTACTGGAGACCATTGTGTGGGGGGGGCCCCGTCCTCACAAATCATCACTGCTGATAAAAGAAATCTTAGATCCAGGTGCAGGAGCCAGAGGAGGCGGCCGTCTCCTTCCCACTCCCACCCTTGCCTTTCACCCCACCTCTACTCTCTCCTCCGCTTTCCCACTTGCCATTTCCTCTTCCATACGACGGTCTATCATTATTCCATCCCTTTCAAGCTATTTCCGGGGTAGAACTCAAAGTCTTACCTAGGATTTGTAAGGTTCTTCAGGGTGCCTCAAATGATTTTTCGTGACCTTTCCTTCATTTTGTTTATAACTATCTTATAAACGTCTTATGTTTGAACAAAAAGGGGTAGTCATACTACACAGATAAAGATATAAAACAATAAATATCTCATGAGAAATATGTAATGACTCCAATATTATAAAACCAGTAAGAAATGTGACCTAAATACTAGTATATGTGAAAAAGAAAGGGGAGAGTCGTCCAGTGCACAAGCCGTACCTAGTAGGTCCAGTACACAGACGCCGATTTGACTTCACTGAATGATTGAAGCTCTTGTAAATATCTACTCATTAATAATAATAGTCGTACCCTCGACCCTATCTCATTTAATATTTTAATAATGAGCTACTAAAATTTGTGGCTTGTAAACCCAAGAAACCACATCATTAACTATGTTGATGTATTAGACATTACCCCCAATATATTTGAAACTCACTTCAGTCACTATTTTAAGTTCGGCCTGAAACTCTTAATAAAGCTTTATAAAAATATACAAATGTTGTACCTACTAAGTAACCATTGATCCTTTGTATATATTATGAATTATTATTATTATTATTATTATTATTATTATTATTATTATTATTATTATCATTATCATCATTATTATTTAATTATTTATTAATTTATTTAGACAAAAGTACACACATTCATGCATATTGAGTCTCGATAGTACAGTTGGTTTAATTCTCGACTCGCACTCGAGATTTCTGGGTTCGAATCCTAGGATTTCTGGACATAAAGTGATGGGCGCGTTTCCTATCACATAAAGCCCCTGTCCACCTATGTTGGATTTATAGAGCTAGTACATACAATACTTAAAGCCACTAATACGCATAGCATTTAGGGCAAGGTATAGGGGGGAAAAATACACTTTGACTAACACAATAGTAATTGGGATTAGGTATAAATTGTGTTGAAAGAAGGAATAAAAATTAAAAAAAAATAGGGGAATATAGCAGAAATCAGCAATTGTACAATTGGTGAACAAACAACATTGTTTAAAAAATAGCAAGACATGGGTTGACATTATGGGGGTAAGGTAGGTTACATGGTGTTACTTAGGTAGTACACTTGGTTTTACTTTTAATTAAACTGGTTGAGAGAGGTACAGCCTTTGACATGATTGGGAAAATCATTCCACATTCTGGGTCCCTTGAGTTGTAGAACATTTCTAGTTTGGTTAAGTCGCACTCTTGGAATATCAAATGGGTATTTGTTTCTGGTGTGTTCTGGTTCTGGTTTCTGTTCTGGTTCTGGTTTCTGGTGTGGTGCTCATGGGCTATGTTACAACCTTCTAGGAAACTTTTAAGGTCAGGATTGACATTGCAGTTCAGAGTTTTAAATATATAGAGTACACATGAGAGCATGTGCAGTGACTTAATATCTAAGTCCACGGCATTTTATGTACTAACTCTATCAATAAATTCATCAATATTTGTATCATCCCTTGTATGTATGCACTTTACCTGAATAAACATTTGAATTTTGAATTTGAATTTAATATATTCAAAGATTTGAGTAGGGGTACCGAGTGATGTCTGGGGGCCAGAGTTAGATATTGTTCGAATAGCAGCTTTGTGTTGAATAATTAGAGGACGTAATTGATTTTGTGTAGTGGAACCCCAAGCACAAATACCATAATTGAGATAAGGATAGATGAGAGAGTAATAGAGCATCACCAGGGCAGGGCGAATTCGACCTTTGGGGTACCTCGATATAAGCCTAACGTGTGTTGTAAATGCTGCTATGGAACCTGACCATCCATCCCCAGGAAAAGAATTACCCAGAAACAGGTATAGATAAGCTTGGATTCTGGGTAATTCTTTTCCCTGGGGATGGGTGGTCAGGCTCCAGTTGTTGGCCATCACCCTTCCTATGTTTTCTCTTAGTCTGGTGTTGCTAACGGCTTTGATCAGCCAAAACGTTCATCTCCCTTTCCCATTTCTCTGTGGATTTTCCGCATACTGTATGTATATTCAGTGGAACCTCGATTAATGAATTTAATCCGTTCCGGCACTTAGCTCGTCATGTGAAATGCTCATCTTTCGAAACAAATTTCCCCTTTTCAAATAATGGAAATAAAATTAATCCGTTCTACTGCCAAAAAACATCAATATGATATTCAATTTTTTAAATAATAGATCAGCCTACCTGACTTACACTGAACAAACCTTTTATGACATTTTCCTTATTTTCAAATTTGTTAAATTTTTTTTTTTTTATTTTAAATTTTTCTTTAAGAAAATGGAGCAGCCTACCTGACATACACTGAACAAACCTTTTTGACATTTGTTCTTTTTTCAATTTTTTTCAATTTATTTCTAATTTTGTCTAAAAAACAAAAAACAATGCTTTGCAACATTACAGCAGTCACCCCTTTACATCCCAGCACCATTAGCATCTTTAAAAAAAAAAAAAGTTATTTGCATTGTCGGAGGTGTCCGAGAATTTGCGAGAACCAGCGGAAATGCTAGGAGCCCCATGTGCATTTGTTGTTAATCAAGCGAAAGCTCGCCAATTGAGACAAGATGCATGGCTTGGTTTACTTTATGTATAATGCCTCCCCAATGTCCAGTCTGCATCCTTAAGTTGCAGCAAGTGCTCAATATCAGGTATCTGCAGGAATATGTTGTCTTCATATATACAGTATACACTCAGCCTTAGACCCATGCCAACAATGACTTTCTGTTTGATGGTACCCATGTACAAGTTAGCAAATAGGACACCAAAGGGGGTATACACTTTTTTATTAATTCATTGTTGGATAAACTCACCCCATGCTGTGTGAATTGGTTCAGTAAAATAACATTGGGCTAAAATCTGAACTGTTTTCTATTTATGGATAGGGCTGTGTTTATGCAGTCATGTGTGTATTATATAATCCTCAACAGGAAAGTTTTCTTGTACAAGTAAAAAAAACAATATTTATATAACATAATCTTTATTATGTGTATATAATTTATATCAATCTAAATCTCACAAAGAAACGTGTCTTCCCTTCAATTTGGTTAATAATTTTAATAACTGGCAGAATTATGAAAGGAAGAGTACAGTAATAGCCTGTATCCACAGTTTTTTAATATATGAATATCAGAAACAGTTAAAACTCAAAATTAACAGGATCATAGAATTCCCTGTGTCTGCTGGCAATGTGAGCCTTGAGATTGTCTCGTTGGTTACAGCGGTGAGGGCAGTATGGACAGGCATAGGGCTTCTCTCCAGTATGGGTCCGTTGGTGGCGTTCCAGCTTGTAGCGAGTCTCAAAGGCCTTGCTGCATACTGGACAGGTGTGGTCCCTGCGACGGGTAGCAGCAGATGGTGATATTCCACCACCCCATGAACGTATTATCTGAGAAAGACAAAATTAAATGGTTTGTTAGAAGTACACAGCAGAATCACTAGCAAAAATATAGCAGATGATATAATGTATATCATTGGTAAATACAGGTATACAACAGCTGAAAAGTCTGTGAGTAAGAAATTTACTGCACTTGCATATGGTATCATTAACATGATGTTATAATAATCATTGCAGTATTTAACCATTAAGCCAAAAGAACCTGCTCAAATAGTTATTAAAACATTTTGCTAGGGGTTTAATATAGTATAGGGTCCGGGGACTACAGTCGGGTTCGTTCTCAACTCACAATCGAGAATTCCAGGTTCGAATCCCAGGCGGGACAGACATGGTTGGACACATTTCTTATCACCTAATGTCCATGTTCACCTAGCAGGAAGTAAGTAGGTGTTGTGGGGTTGCATCCTGGGTAGGTCAGTAATTCGACTTAGGGTGGTGGGGGGAGACCTCGATATAAGCCTCACGTGTATGAGTACACTCTGGCTGCCTGTCCCCCTATACAATAAATTATTATTATTAATATTATTATTATTATTATTATTGTTATTATTATTATTATTATTATTATTATTATTATTATTATTATTATTATTGTTATTATTATTATTATTATTATTATTATTATTAATTAAGTGTTTTTTAAAATAGTATACATTTTAATGCTTTTATGCTACTAAACCAAAAATGTCTGACCTGACTTTCCCATTACTATGTAACAGAGCCTGAACTGTCAGTTAAGTCTATCTAAAGCTTTCTGCAGCAACTCTCAAAGATTTAGCTGATTTTGATAATACAATTATTTTTATGATGTGAAATATAGGTGACGTACAAGGGGATGATGTGTACAGTACTGGCAAGTTTCATCTTATGCAGGAACAAGTGTCCACACTCAACAAAATTGACAGAGGAATTCTTGAAAACTGCAACGTCAAGAACAAGATGTCATCGATTCAATCTAAGGAAGCCAAGATGCCAAAAAAAAACTTTTTTTTTTTTTAAATAGTGGTAGACAGTTCGAACAAGTTTAGTGATAAGGTGTTAGATGCCAAAATTGTCAGTAGTTTTAAATCATCATATGACAAAGTCTACTGGGAAGACAGGACATCACGAGCATAGATTTCATCCTGTAACTACGCTTAGGTAATTGTGCTGGGGTGAAGACACATGACTGAAGCTAAAAGTTGACTTTAAATAGATTAGCAGGAATTTAATGAATCAACTCAATCTTAAAAACAATTATTCACTAATTTTGTCTGAAGAGCAAATCTAACCTAAGTAAGATTGTAAAATGTAAATATTTATTATGCTAGTTTTTTATTACTGTATTGGCAAACATTTAACATTTGTGACTTTTTAGATATGTACTGTATAGTAGCCATTAAGTTTTATGGTAAATTTAAAAATGATATGATTTTGTATACTACTGATGGGGCAGCAAGCCTGTTAAGCTTATTGAGGTTTCCTTATTTAATGGTGATGTTTTTCACATGGTCACCCAACCAGTAATTAGCCAGACTCGATGGTGCTTAACCAACTAAGTGGTGAACTCATAATCTATTTTGTATATTATACATTATGAATATTAATCTCATTTCTATATACAGTACTGTACTGAATTTGTGTTTCTCCTGTTAGAATCTATTGCATTCAGGAACCCCTAAAAAGAATTTTCTCTCAAGAAAACAGTACTGTACTTTTTTATTGTTCATATGACAATACGTGACATTAAAATATGTCA